AAGGGGGCCCTGCCCCGAGCGCCGCAGGGGAAGCACCCCCCGCGCCGCGGGAGGCAGCGACAGTGGGGGAGGCACCCTGCACTAGCTGCGCCCCTCTCCCCCCGTTCGTAACTAGGGGGCCGACTTAAGTCGGATTGACATAACCCGGGGTCCGCCTGTATTCTGTATTATCCGACATTTCTGCTATCCCACCATCCTCCGGTCCCATTTAGGTCAGATAATCAAGACTCTAGTGCAATCATAAAAAGCAATTCTGTGGCTCATGTGAGGACACGGAATTCTGATTTCACAATTATAGATTAATAAAGTACTGACCTCGTCTTTTTTAAAGTTCCTCTCAGCAATGTTGGCCTTAAATGACTCTATTGGGTAATAAAGAATGATGCACATGGAGAGAGCTGATAATCCTTCATCACTGCATTTGTTCACATCAGCTCCATTATCAAGAAGAAGATTAATGATGTCTTCATGGTAATTCACCTGTTGAGTGAAAACATGTGCGTTACATGAGCATATGTGTGCATATACAATTTTAGTTTTCCATGTGGGATTAACTGAAACCACAGAAAACAAAATAATAACCAAGACACTCACTGAAGATAAGACTCAAATCACTATTACTGACTTCACATATTTTGCAATTTCCCTTTCTTTTCTTTTTATCCCAGCACTGAATTTGGCTCATAAATTAACAGTGATCTCAAAATGTTTCTACTGCTTTCAGGTATGTCTTATGGGTAAGGCTCGCAGAACTAATAAAAAACTTCCACAAAAGGTAAAACTATTTTAGATGCACCAATGTAAGGCGGGTTTAGAATTCCTTTTTTTCTGGAATATAACCTTTAATGGCACAAGCAGTGAATCAGATGTTGGGTGAGTGATGTGGTCGCTATCAGAGCAGCAACATGCAGAGATAGATGTCAACTGCATGTATTTACCTTCAAGAGGATAAAGAGGGCAGTCCATCATTGGACGGCATGTGGTTTGTTTTTGAGGTCCACAGGGGACCTCAACAAAGCACCGATGATAAAAACGTAAGGGAAACTGCCCTGATCACAACATATCCTTTGTAACAAAGAAGGCTCTTTCAGCTCATGTGTTTGTTTCATGGAGCATCTAAGAGATGATCCAGAGGCACTATCTGCCAAGAAATGCACCATTGATCCAAAACTCTAGTCCTACACCACTTGTTACCGCTAGTCATTAGAAACCATGTCTGATGTACTGTCAGTAATTACACTGAAGTCAATGGAGTTTCATCCACTGACTACATCTGACCTCTCAAACTGGAGTGGATGCTATTAGTAGACATTTCAACTCTTCTTACATTAGTGAGCTACCTACAAAGCACACTTCATGTAAATAAAATATTCTTCCATTCTGACTTTTAAAGTTTCCAGAAAAGACTTAACTGCGGGGAAGCATATTATAATGGAACTCAGGAATCAAATACAGCAACACATTTCATTAATACAACAGTTTGGCAGTGAGAATTTCAAAAATCAAAGTTGTCCGGAAATTCAAAGTTATTGTTGCTAAAGCAACTAGGACTCTGCCACATTGCAAACACAGTAAAGGCAATAATTTATGTGTATTAAATTACATTATATCTCCAGATACACACTCAGTTTTGGCCTTCTGTGTTATACTGGACAAGTCACTTAATTCCTGGGCCTTCAGTACCCTCTCCCCAAAATGTACTGAACTGTCACAGGACTGCTGGGTCTCAGAGGGGTAACCATGCTAGTCTGCATTTGCAAAAACAATGGCACCTTAGGGTACGTCTACACAGCAACATTATTTTGAAATAACTAGTGTTATTTCGAAATAACGAAATCTAGTCTGCATCTACACAGCAGGCAGTTATTTCAAAATAATGTCAAAATACTGTCAAACTGGAGGACTTCTTACTCTGACTCCTGTAACCCTCATTGTACGAGGAATAAGAGACGGCAGAAGAAGAGTGTTCTATTTAGAAATAAGTGCTGTGTAAACACTCCCAATTTCGAAATACGCTATGCAATTGACGTAGCTCAATTTGGGTATCTTATTTCAAGTTAAACCCTGCCATGTAGACACACCCTTATAGACCAACAGGTTTATTGGGGCATAAGCTTTCATGGGTAAATCCCACTTCATCAGATGAATTGTATTTGTACTTTCATATATACCCCGGCTTCTGTAATTTCCATAGGGTGTCAGGGGGCTCCCCGGGAGTGGGACCAGGAGCCAGGAGTGCAGTAGCTGCTGGCCCCACCCTCAGGGAGTATTTTTGTCACTGTGTAACTAATAACATTTATTTTAGTAATTGTGTAGCTGCAAAAATTATCTGGCATCCCCAACGATAATAAAAACAAACTAAAACCAAAACCAGATCTTTTCTGGGTTTGAAAACAACTTGGAACAAGAAAGGGCAAAAAAGTTTCAGCTCCAGGGATTTAAATCCAGAGCAATGCAACACTGACACTGGAAGGATTTGGAATTTTAGGCTTAGAGTCATTTTAATATTATGCAGGGAAACATTTTGCATAGATTGTTTAGCCCTGTTGCTCAGAAAGCTCTTTCCTTAACTATGTTTGCTATTGAGTCTCACATTCATTGTATAACAAAGACACACAGATGCAGTAGCAACAAAAAATGGTCATTCACAGAGGGAGAGGTCATATTTGGAGCCTTACAGCAGCAGCTGCAAGTGCAGTGTATCCATGTGTGTCCGCTACATCTGGGTGAGCTAAGTTGTCCCTCAGAATCTCATAGATACTACTGAAGTTTCCCGCTGCTGCCTTCTGAATCAGCTGCTCTGAAGCAAGCTCTTTGGGGCCTTTGGGGCCAAAGGTATCTCGACTTCCATTCAGAATGGCGTTGATATCCCAACTGATCTCTCTTTGACAATGCCTTGAGCAGAGGAAAGTGAAAAAATATTAAACAGCTGGAGCGTTCACATTTAACTTAAACAGTTGTGACACAAACACCTGTTATACCACAGAGCTTTAAAAAAAAGCCCACTGATAATACAGAGCATTGCCAGGTAACATAGAAGATGGGGCAACCATTCATAAAAACCATTTCAGACAATTCTTGCTCTCACCATGGAGCATAAAGGAGTAAAAATTGTGGAATGAGGGACATTAATTACATTCAGGAGAGAGGTTAAAAACATCCAACCCCAAGATCGGGGCAGGGCAAAATACGGCCTGGGGGCCACATCCAGCCCACCAAGCCACCGGATCCGGCCTGCGGACCACCCTGCTGGGACCCTCAGGCACACAGCTATGCAGTTTACAGCACAGTCCATGCAGCTCTCTGCTCCACAGGGTGAGGGAAGCTTCGTGCAATTTCCCCACCCCCAGCCCAATCCTCAGCTCCTATTGACCAGAAACAACTGGCCAATAGGAACTGACCCGAGACAATCTCTCAGCTCCTATTAGCTGGAAACAACTAGCCAATAGGAGCTGAGAGAGTGGCCTGGGGGATGGAAGCAGTGCAAATCTCTTTTTTCTCTGGGAGCTGAGAGCCACGTGGAAGGAGCAGTCTGCAGTTTCAAGAGAAGCTGCAGCAGGCAGGGAGCCCAGCCTGCCTTGGGGGTGCTGCGGGGCTGCCAGATGGTTTAACCAAAAATACTGAACACCTCTTCCCCCCAAAAGAAACACCTGGGATAAAAAAGTTGTTGAGCATTAAAAAAA